GGTGACCGGCTCAGGGGTATAGTCTTTGACCAGGCAGCCAAAGGTGACCTGGGAGGTGGTGGCTTCTCCGACACAGGAGGTGAGGGGGAAGACAGATGGTGATGTGGGTCCAGCTGTAAAAGCAGAGAGAGCAACGCCATGAGATGAGTCCTGGACTGAGACTTTGTCCTGTTCTGTGCAGGACTGGTCCCATAACACGGCACTGGGTCTATCTCTTCCTCATCTCTGCTCCTGTCTGCACAGCAGGCAGCTTATGTCAAGGCTGTTGATTGCTAGAAAGTGTTATTCTCTGTTAGCCAAGGTGGGCAGGGATGGGGTCCCCTAGCTTCTCTTTGCCAGAAGCTGGGAATGGATGATAGGAGAAGGATCAAATGAGGATATCCTCTTCTGTTCACTCCCTCTGGGGCACCTGGCATTGGCCACCCCTCACTCCTTCCCCGCAGCCCCTGCTAGCTTAGCCCTGGGCTCCCCAAGCCCTCCTAGTGCCCCACTCTCCTGCCCCACAGCCCCTGCTAGCCCAGCACTGGGCTCCTACAATGCTGCTGGTGCCCCTCACTCTGGAACTGCACCCCCTGCTAGCTCAGCCCTGGGCTCCCCAACCCCTGCTAGTGCCCCACTCTCCTGACCCACAGCCTTTGCTAGTCCAGTGCTGCTAGTGTCCTCACTCCTGACCTGCAGCCCCTGCTAGATCAGCTCTGGGCTTCCCTAGCCCTGCCAGTGCCCCAGTCTCCCGACCCGCAGCCCCTGGTAGCTCAGCCCTGCGCTCCCCCAGCCCTGCAAGTGCCCCACTCTCCTGACCTGACCTAGGAAACAATCCAAGATTTTGACCACAGAAGTGAAATTCACCGAGTTTTCTCGGCTCCCCAAAGAGTCACCGTGTCACTACCTTTTGGCTTGTTAAGCCTTTATCTGAGACAGTTCACACGCTAGGGCTCCCCCAACCCTGCTTGTGCTCCCCACTCCTGACCTGCAGCCCCTACTAGCCTAGCCCTGGGCTTTCCCAGCCCTGCTAGCACCCTTCACATAGCTGTGGAGGAATAATAAATATTAGATGCTCCTGAGGCTCCTAAGCTTACTGTTGAGATCACAAGCCCCCTAGTTGCCTGTTATCAATACTGTTGCTCACTCAGTTTATTAGTGACCTGGGAAGTCCCTGGACACTTTTCAGGAAAGTCTGGGACTTTCCAAGTCAACCCGGGACATTTTGCTCATTGGGTGAGAATGAGGCTCAGCCCTGGGGTCCCCCAGCCCTGCCCGTGCCCCTGACTCCCAGCCTGCAGCCCTGATAGCTCAGGATATCATCCAGTTACTATTAACCCTGGTGCACAGAGTGACAGTGAGGTGGTTAGGGGTAGCGCAGGGTTATGGTTAGGGGCAAAATTCCTGACCCACAGCCTCTGCTAGTCCAGTGCTGCCTTGGGTTCCTCCAGTGCTGCTGGTGCCCCACTCCTGACCTGCTCCGTAACATAATGGTCTAGAAAACCCAACTTAGGCTCGGGGACTTATCAAACTTGGTTCTCTTTAGATATCATAGGGAAAAGATGACAGTTATTGTAGTGGAGTTAAGTAGTTTCTTCATCTTTTGGAGGATGGAAGCCGTGGTTAGGGTCATGGTTAAGGATCGGGGGGTATAAACAGTTGGGTTTGAGGTTTGGATTACGGGTCTAGTTCTGGGATTTGAGTAAAAAACTTTCCTTCCCCCCATCTCAGTTTTGTACAATCACACCCCCTAGCTCACAGTGTTAGTAGCCAAGAAAACACTCAAATTCTAACTGAGTTGGAGGCAGATTTTTTGCTGGACATTTTCCTAATGTCTCCGGGAGAAATCTCTCAAGAACTGCAGCTCCTTCAATTTCTGAGTGGCTATACTGGAGGCAACTTGGAGTGGGCATTGGCTGGAGATGTCGGAGCCGGTCTCTTCTGGAGAGGAAGACTCAAACATCCTCAGAGAGGGCACCTCAAACACGGAGCCAGCTCTACCGAAAGGCTACATTAGCAACCTGAATTTTGGTCTGTCCCCAGAACCGGGGTTCCCTGCGATGTTCGTCTACTGCTGGTAAAGACCACGTGTGGCTCTGTTGGGAACTCCGCATGCTTGGCTCTCGGCATAGAGCACGAGAGCAGAGCTGGCGGAGGAAAGCCGGGACGGCACGGAGAAACGTGCTCCTGCACTCGGTGAGTTCAGCGTGTTTCCTCTGAGGAGGGACACTCCAAAGGGGGAATTTATGCCTGAATTTAGAAACTTTTCCGTTGCAAACTTTTTTTAATTGGACTAAACAGACGAGCCAATTAAATCCCCATAGATAGGAACTCAGCTGTGCCCGTCTAAGTTCTAATGAAACACCCCTGCTCTCCCCGCCCTGAATGCCCCACATCTGTCAAAGTCCCTTAGCCCAGGGTGCCAGCCCCCTACCCTAATAAATCCCACAGCCCCCTTTCTCTCCCACACAGTCTGGTGGTTCCCGTCAATTCCCAGCTGCTGCTTCTAGCTAATTCAGTCCTGGGCGCCCTCCCAGCTCTGCCACTGCCGCTCAATACTGGCCTGAAGCCCCTGCTACCCCATTCGTGGGCTCCCCCAACCCTGCCAGTGCCCATCACACATGATCTGCAGCCCTTGCTAGCCCAGCCCTGCCCTGCCCCCCACCCTATTGGTGCCCCTCACTCCTGCTCCGCAGCCCCTGCTAGCCCAACTCTGGGCTCCCCTTGCCCTGCTGGCACCCCTCACTCCTGACCCGCAGCCCCTGCTAGCTCAGCCCTGGGCTCCCCCAGCCCTGCTAGTGCCCCACTCTCCTGACCCACAGCCTCTGCTAGTCCAGCGCTGCCCAGGGTTCCTCCAGTGCTGCAGGTGCCCCAATCCTGACCCGCTCCCCTACTAGCCCAGCCCGGCGTTCCCCCAGCCTTTCGGATGCCCCTCACTCCTGCCCCACAGCCCCTGCTAGTCCCGCCCTGGGCTCCTCCAATGCTGCTGGTTCCCCTCAGTCCTGACTTGCACCCCCTGCTAGCTCAGCCCTGGAGTCCCCCAGCCCTGCCGGTGCCCCTGACTCCCAACCCACAGCCTCTGCCAGCCCAGCCCTGGGATCACCTCAGCTTTTCTGCTGCACCTCATTCTTATCCCACAGTTCTTACTACCCCTGCCCTGCACTTGTCCATGTTCTGCCAGTGCCCTTCCCTCCAGGGCCCCCTTTCTGAGCTGTTATCCCAGGCCCCACAGCCCCTGCAATCCCAGCCCTGGGTTCCCCCCCCCAGCTCTGCCAGCACCGCCCCAGTCCCAACCCACAGCCCCTGCTAGCCCAGCCCTAGGCTTCCCCAGCCCTGCCAGTGCCCCTCATTCCTTCCCCACAGCCCCTGCTAGCTTAGCCCTGGGCTCCCCAAGCCCTCCTAGTGCCCCACTCTCCTGCCCCACAGCCCCTGCTAGCCCAGCACTGGGCTCCTCCAATGCTGCTGGTGCCCCTCACTCTGGAACTGCACCCCCTGCTAGCTCAGCCCTGGGCTCCCCAACCCCTGCTAGTGCCCCACTCTCCTGACCCACAGCCTCTGCTCGTCCAGTGATGCCTTGGGTTCCTCCAGTGCTGCTGGTGCCCCACTCCTGACCTGCTCCACTACTAGCCCATCCCTGGGCTCCCCCCCCTCATACCTGCCCCACAGCCCCTGCTAGCTCAGCTCTGGGCTCCCCCAGCCCTGCTAGTGCTCCCCGCTCCTGCCCCACACCTCCAGCCGTGGTTAGGGTCATGGTTAAGGATCGGGGGGTATAAACAGTTGGGTTTGAGGTTTGGATTACGGGTCTAGTTCTGGGATTTGAGTAAAAAACTTTCCTTCCCCCCATCTCAGTTTTGTACAATCACACCCCCTAGCTCACAGTGTTAGTAGCCAAGAAAACACTCAAATTCTAACTGAGTTGGAGGCAGATTTTTTGCTGGACATTTTCCTAATGTCTCCGGGAGAAATCTCTCAAGAACTGCAGCTCCTTCAATTTCTGAGTGGCTATACTGGAGGCAACTTGGAGTGGGCATTGGCTGGAGATGTCGGAGCCGGTCTCTTCTGGAGAGGAAGACTCAAACATCCTCAGAGAGGGCACCTCAAACACGGAGCCAGCTCTACCGAAAGGCTACATTAGCAACCTGAATTTTGGTCTGTCCCCAGAACCGGGGTTCCCTGCGATGTTCGTCTACTGCTGGTAAAGACCACGTGTGGCTCTGTTGGGAACTCCGCATGCTTGGCTCTCGGCATAGAGCACGAGAGCAGAGCTGGCGGAGGAAAGCCGGGACGGCACGGAGAAACGTGCTCCTGCACTCGGTGAGTTCAGCGTGTTTCCTCTGAGGAGGGACACTCCAAAGGGGGAATTTATGCCTGAATTTAGAAACTTTTCCGTTGCAAACTTTTTTTAATTGGACTAAACAGACGAGCCAATTAAATCCCCATAGATAGGAACTCAGCTGTGCCCGTCTAAGTTCTAATGAAACACCCCTGCTCTCCCCGCCCTGAATGCCCCACATCTGTCAAAGTCCCTTAGCCCAGGGTGCCAGCCCCCTACCCTAATAAATCCCACAGCCCCCTTTCTCTCCCACACAGTCTGGTGGTTCCCGTCAATTCCCAGCTGCTGCTTCTAGCTAATTCAGTCCTGGGCGCCCTCCCAGCTCTGCCACTGCCGCTCAATACTGGCCTGAAGCCCCTGCTACCCCATTCGTGGGCTCCCCCAACCCTGCCAGTGCCCATCACACATGATCTGCAGCCCTTGCTAGCCCAGCCCTGCCCTGCCCCCCACCCTATTGGTGCCCCTCACTCCTGCTCCGCAGCCCCTGCTAGCCCAACTCTGGGCTCCCCTTGCCCTGCTGGCACCCCTCACTCCTGACCCGCAGCCCCTGCTAGCTCAGCCCTGGGCTCCCCCAGCCCTGCTAGTGCCCCACTCTCCTGACCCACAGCCTCTGCTAGTCCAGCGCTGCCCAGGGTTCCTCCAGTGCTGCAGGTGCCCCAATCCTGACCCGCTCCCCTACTAGCCCAGCCCGGCGTTCCCCCAGCCTTTCGGATGCCCCTCACTCCTGCCCCACAGCCCCTGCTAGTCCCGCCCTGGGCTCCTCCAATGCTGCTGGTTCCCCTCAGTCCTGACTTGCACCCCCTGCTAGCTCAGCCCTGGAGTCCCCCAGCCCTGCCGGTGCCCCTGACTCCCAACCCACAGCCTCTGCCAGCCCAGCCCTGGGATCACCTCAGCTTTTCTGCTGCACCTCATTCTTATCCCACAGTTCTTACTACCCCTGCCCTGCACTTGTCCATGTTCTGCCAGTGCCCTTCCCTCCAGGGCCCCCTTTCTGAGCTGTTATCCCATGTCCATCTCCCTATCTCTGCCAGCAGGGGCACAGCCTGTTCTGTGCTACCCTCCTGGCTTCCTCCGCAACTCCCACCCATGCACGGGGAATCCCATGCTGCAGCCTGCCCTAGTCCAGTGCTGGTTCCTGACCCGCAGCCTCTGCTAGTCCAGCGCTGCCCTGGGTTCCTCCAGTACTGCTGGTGCCCCAATCCTGACCTGCACCCCTTTGCTTTTCGAGGCTCAGAACAGAGCCCAAGGGTCCGGGGTCCTAGTACCCCTGGCTGACACCCACCAGTGCCCAGTCCTAGAACCAGGGGAGAAGCCGCAAGTCCTGGCCCCAGCCCTCGCCTGCCCCAGCCCTGCCAGTGCCCCTCCCTCCTTCCCCGCAGCCCCTGCTAGCTTAGCCCTGGGCTCCCCAAGCCCTCCTAGTGCCCCACTCTCCTGCCCCACAGCCCCTGCTAGCCCAGCCCTAGGCTTCCCCAGCCCTGCTAGTGCCCCTCACTCCTGCCCCACAGCCCCTGCTAGCTCAGCTCTGGGCTCCCCCAGCCCTGCTAGTGCTCCCCGCTCCTGCCCCACACCTCCTGCCAGCCGAGCCCTAGGCTTCCCCAGCCCTGCCGGTGACCCTCACTCCTTCCCCACAGCCCGTGCTAGCTCAGCCCCACGCTCCCCAAGCCCTGCAAGTGCCCCACTCTCCCGACCCAAAAAACTTTCCTTCCCCCCATCTCAGTTTTGTACAATCACACCCCCTAGCTCACAGTGTTAGTAGCCAAGAAAACACTCAAATTCTAACTGAGTTGGAGGCAGATTTTTTGCTGGACATTTTCCTAATGTCTCCGGGAGAAATCTCTCAAGAACTGCAGCTCCTTCAATTTCTGAGTGGCTATACTGGAGGCAACTTGGAGTGGGCATTGGCTGGAGATGTCGGAGCCGGTCTCTTCTGGAGAGGAAGACTCAAACATCCTCAGAGAGGGCACCTCAAACACGGAGCCAGCTCTACCGAAAGGCTACATTAGCAACCTGAATTTTGGTCTGTCCCCAGAACCGGGGTTCCCTGCGATGTTCGTCTACTGCTGGTAAAGACCACGTGTGGCTCTGTTGGGAACTCCGCATGCTTGGCTCTCGGCATAGAGCACGAGAGCAGAGCTGGCGGAGGAAAGCCGGGACGGCACGGAGAAACGTGCTCCTGCACTCGGTGAGTTCAGCGTGTTTCCTCTGAGGAGGGACACTCCAAAGGGGGAATTTATGCCTGAATTTAGAAACTTTTCCGTTGCAAACTTTTTTTAATTGGACTAAACAGACGAGCCAATTAAATCCCCATAGATAGGAACTCAGCTGTGCCCGTCTAAGTTCTAATGAAACACCCCTGCTCTCCCCGCCCTGAATGCCCCACATCTGTCAAAGTCCCTTAGCCCAGGGTGCCAGCCCCCTACCCTAATAAATCCCACAGCCCCCTTTCTCTCCCACACAGTCTGGTGGTTCCCGTCAATTCCCAGCTGCTGCTTCTAGCTAATTCAGTCCTGGGCGCCCTCCCAGCTCTGCCACTGCCGCTCAATACTGGCCTGAAGCCCCTGCTACCCCATTCGTGGGCTCCCCCAACCCTGCCAGTGCCCATCACACATGATCTGCAGCCCTTGCTAGCCCAGCCCTGCCCTGCCCCCCACCCTATTGGTGCCCCTCACTCCTGCTCCGCAGCCCCTGCTAGCCCAACTCTGGGCTCCCCTTGCCCTGCTGGCACCCCTCACTCCTGACCCGCAGCCCCTGCTAGCTCAGCCCTGGGCTCCCCCAGCCCTGCTAGTGCCCCACTCTCCTGACCCACAGCCTCTGCTAGTCCAGCGCTGCCCAGGGTTCCTCCAGTGCTGCAGGTGCCCCAATCCTGACCCGCTCCCCTACTAGCCCAGCCCGGCGTTCCCCCAGCCTTTCGGATGCTAGCCCAGCCCTGGGCTCCTCCAATGCTGCTGGTTCCCCTCAGTCCTGACTTGCACCCCCTGCTAGCTCAGCCCTGGAGTCCCCCAGCCCTGCCGGTGCCTCGACTTCCAACCTGCAGTCCTGATAGCCCGGCCCTGGGCTTCCACAGCCCTGCCGGTGACCCTCACTCCTTCCCCGCAGCCCCTGCTAGCCCGGCTCTGGGCTCCCCAAGCCCTCCTAGTGCCCCACTCTCCTGCCCCACAGCCCCTGCTAGCCTAGTCCTAGGCTTTCCCAGCCCTGCTAGTGCCCCTCACTCCTGCCCCACAGCCCCTGCTAGCCCAGTCCTAGGCTTCCCCAGCCCTGCCGGTGACCCTCACTCCTTCCCCGCAGCCCCTGCTAGCCTAGCCCTGGGCCCCCCAAGCCGTGCTAGTGCCCCTCACTCCTGCCCCACAGCCCCTGCTAGCCTAGTCCTAGGCTTTCCCAGCCCTGCTAGTGCCCCACTCCTGACCTACAGCCCCTGCTAGATCAGCCCTGAGCTCCTCCCAGCCCTGCCGGTGCCCCTCACTCCTTCCCCGCAGCCCCTGCTAGCCTAGCCCTGGGCCCCCCAAGCCGTGCTAGTGCCCCTCACTCCTGCCCCACAGCCCCTGCTAGCCTAGTCCTAGGCTTTCCCAGCCCTGCTAGTGCCCCACTCCTGACCTACAGCCCCTGCTAGATCAGCCCTGAGCTCCTCCCAGCCCTGCCGGTGCCCCTCACTCCTTCCCCGCAGCCCCTGCTAGCCTAGCCCTGGGCCCCCCAAGCCGTGCTAGTGCCCCTCACTCCTGCCCCACAGCCCCTGCTAGCCTAGTCCTAGGCTTTCCCAGCCCTGCTAGTGCCCCACTCCTGACCTACAGCCCCTGCTAGATCAGCCCTGAGCTCCTCCCAGCCCTGCCGGTGCCCCTCACTCCTTCCCCGCAGCCCCTGCTAGCCTAGCCCTGGGCCCCCCAAGCCGTGCTAGTGCCCCTCACTCCTGCCCCACAGCCCCTGCTAGCCTAGTCCTAGGCTTTCCCAGCCCTGCTAGTGCCCCACTCCTGACCTACAGCCCCTGCTAGATCAGCCCTGAGCTCCTCCCAGCCCTGCCGGTGCCCCTCACTCCTTCCCCGCAGCCCCTGCTAGCCTAGCCCTGGGCCCCCCAAGCCGTGCTAGTGCCCCTCACTCCTGCCCCACAGCCCCTGCTAGCCTAGTCCTAGGCTTTCCCAGCCCTGCTAGTGCCCCACTCCTGACCTACAGCCCCTGCTAGATCAGCCCTGAGCTCCTCCCAGCCCTGCCGGTGCCCCTCACTCCTTCCCCGCAGCCCCTGCTAGCCTAGCCCTGGGCCCCCCAAGCCGTGCTAGTGCCCCTCACTCCTGCCCCACAGCCCCTGCTAGCCTAGTCCTAGGCTTTCCCAGCCCTGCTAGTGCCCCACTCCTGACCTACAGCCCCTGCTAGATCAGCCCTGAGCTCCTCCCAGCCCTGCCGGTGCCCCTCACTCCTTCCCCGCAGCCCCTGCTAGCCTAGCCCTGGGCCCCCCAAGCCGTGCTAGTGCCCCTCACTCCTGCCCCACAGCCCCTGCTAGCCTAGTCCTAGGCTTTCCCAGCCCTGCTAGTGCCCCACTCCTGACCTACAGCCCCTGCTAGATCAGCCCTGAGCTCCTCCCAGCCCTGCCGGTGCCCCTCACTCCTTCCCCGCAGCCCCTGCTAGCCTAGCCCTGGGCCCCCCAAGCCGTGCTAGTGCCCCTCACTCCTGCCCCACAGCCCCTGCTAGCCTAGTCCTAGGCTTTCCCAGCCCTGCTAGTGCCCCACTCCTGACCTACAGCCCCTGCTAGATCAGCCCTGAGCTCCTCCCAGCCCTGCCGGTGCCCCTCACTCCTTCCCCGCAGCCCCTGCTAGCCTAGCCCTGGGCCCCCCAAGCCGTGCTAGTGCCCCTCACTCCTGCCCCACAGCCCCTGCTAGCCTAGTCCTAGGCTTTCCCAGCCCTGCTAGTGCCCCACTCCTGACCTACAGCCCCTGCTAGATCAGCCCTGAGCTCCTCCCAGCCCTGCCGGTGCCCCTCACTCCTTCCCCGCAGCCCCTGCTAGCCTAGCCCTGGGCCCCCCAAGCCGTGCTAGTGCCCCTCACTCCTGCCCCACAGCCCCTGCTAGCCTAGTCCTAGGCTTTCCCAGCCCTGCTAGTGCCCCACTCCTGACCTACAGCCCCTGCTAGATCAGCCCTGAGCTCCTCCCAGCCCTGCCGGTGCCCCTCACTCCTTCCCCGCAGCCCCTGCTAGCCTAGCCCTGGGCCCCCCAAGCCGTGCTAGTGCCCCTCACTCCTGCCCCACAGCCCCTGCTAGCCTAGTCCTAGGCTTTCCCAGCCCTGCTAGTGCCCCACTCCTGACCTACAGCCCCTGCTAGATCAGCCCTGAGCTCCTCCCAGCCCTGCCGGTGCCCCTCACTCCTTCCCCGCAGCCCCTGCTAGCCTAGCCCTGGGCCCCCCAAGCCGTGCTAGTGCCCCTCACTCCTGCCCCACAGCCCCTGCTAGCCTAGTCCTAGGCTTTCCCAGCCCTGCTAGTGCCCCACTCCTGACCTACAGCCCCTGCTAGATCAGCCCTGAGCTCCTCCCAGCCCTGCCGGTGCCCCTCACTCCTTCCCCGCAGCCCCTGCTAGCCTAGCCCTGGGCCCCCCAAGCCGTGCTAGTGCCCCTCACTCCTGACCTGCAGCCCCTGCTAGCTCAGCTCAGTGCTCCCCCAGTCCTGCTAGTGCTCCCCGCTCCTGCCCCTCACCTCCTGCCAGCCGAGCCCTAGGCTTCCCCAGGTGACCCTCACTCCTTATCCACAGCCCCTGCTAGCCCTGATCTGGGCTCCCCAAGCCCTGCTAGTGCCCCACTCCTGACCTACAGCCCCTGCTAGATCAGCCCTGAGCTCCTCCCAGCCCTGCCGGTGCCCCACTCTCCTGACCAGCAACCCCTGCTAGCTTAGCCCTGGGCTCCCCCAACCCTGCTTGTGCTCCCCGCTCCTGACCTGCAGCCCCTACTAGCCCAGCCCTGGGCTTTCCCAGCCCTGCTAGTGCTCCCTGCTCCTGCCCCACAGCCCCTGCTAGCCCAGCCCTAGGCTTCCCCAGCCCTGCCAGTGCCCCTCATTCCTTCCCCACAGCCCCTGCTAGCTTAGCCCTGGGCTCCCCAAGCCCTCCTAGTGCCCCACTCTCCTGACCCACAGCCCCTGCTAGCCCAGCCCTGGGCTGTGCTGCTGGTGCCTCTCCTGACCCACTGCCCCTGCTAGACTGGTCCTGGACTCCTACGCAGGGCTGTGGCTGATGTGCAACTTTGCCCTGTCTCCCCCATCATCCAAGGTGACCCTCACTCCTTCCCCGCAGCCCGTGCTAGCTCAGCCCCGTGCTCCCCCAGCCCTGCAAGTGCCCCTCACTCCTTCCCCGCAGCTCCTGCTAGCCTAGCCCTGGGCTCCCCAAGCCGTGCTAGTGCCCCTCACTCCTGACCTGCAGCCCCTGCTAGCTCAGCTCTGGGCTTCCCCAGCCCTGCTAGTGCTCCCAGCTCCTGCCCCACAGCCCCTGCTAGCCCAGCCCTGGGCTGTGCTGCTGGTGCCTCTCCTGACCCACTGCCCCTGCTAGACTGGTCCTGGACTCCTACGCAGGGCTGTGGCTGATGTGCAACTTTGCCCTGTCTCCCCCATCATCCAAGCAGTACGGAGCTGCATGGCCAGCACATGGGGCTGAAGGGCTGATCACAGGGGCTAGCAGAGAATGGGAAGCCCTAGGCCCGGCAGGGAGCAGTTCCAGGGACTCTGTGCCCAGCTGGAGGCACTTTGCTTTTGTCCCAGATCCAGTCCGTGATCCTTGATGCAGCCCGGGCTGACGGTATCCCTGAGGTGGCTGACAGCCTCTTTGGTTACCTGATCGAGAGGGTGCGCAACAACCTGCATGTGGTGCTCTGCCTCAGCCCCATCGGGGAGCCCTTCAGGTGAGGGATGGGAGCTGCTCCTAGTGTACTGGCCACGGCCCTGCCTGGTGCTATTGTGCCCTCTGGTGGGCAATTCTGGACCTGCCAGCAGACGGGCTAAAGGACAGGTGAAGGAGCACAGCTGAGAGCTGCTCAGCTGGGGAGTGGGAGCTGGAGGAAGGGCAGTAGGGTGAGGGAGTCAGAAATGGGAGCAGGGATGGGGGTGGGGTGGAAGCAGGGCAGAGATTAGGAGTGGGAGAGGTGGGGAAGAGATGAGTCAGTGTAGGAGCAGTGGAGGGATTAGAAGAGAAATGGGGTGGAGGTGGGAGGAGGCAGGAGCAGGGCGGGGGGGCACACTTGG